TTTCAATGGATTGGAGGTATGAAAACTTGTATTTTAAATGCTTTGATTCAATGAGCCTGATGTCCAACGTCTCTTTTGGTGTACACAGTGGACTTGATAAAACGCGTTCATCAATTACGTAAGTGGAGTTCAAAGCTGCTTTAGTTTTATTATTTGTGCCATCTTTCTCTAAAATTGAAGAGTCGTTTCCTGTAAAAGACTCCATGGAGTCAGTCTCTGTTGTTGCCTTATTCTTCATTAACTTACATTCCGTGAATCCATCTTCGTTTCTGTCTTTTTTCCCGAAGGACTTCTCTAGTGTTAAGGGATTGAGGTTCGTCTCTGCAGCTGCTTTATTTCGCGACAACTTATTATCAGTATAAACACTGTTTACCTTACTTGATGAGGGCATTCCAATATCTTTCTTCTCACTTCTGGTACATAACATGCTTACATCCGACCGATTTTCATCACTTAATAAAGATCGTCTTCGGTTCCGATAGCGCGAATTCTTGCAGAAGGTGGTAACCTTTTCATCGGAGGACGAAGAGCCCGATGCTTCGAAGAAACCAGATTCAGTAATTTTAAATTCTCTCCCATGGAATGAATCCGATTTGCATTCCACGCTCATTTCCTCAATAATACTTTTTGAACATGCTACGTCTTCATGACCACATTTTATTCTTTTATTGAGTGGTTCCCCGAAATCCCTTAAAAGAGAAAGCTTCTTAAAACCAACATCTTCTGAGAAGACCTCCGAAAGCATGGCTGCCACTTTAATCTTGAATGCTTTGAGAACCTTCCCTTCAAAATGGCAAAGATTCTCTATTATAGCGTCACTATGGTGGGCCAAACTCTCTAACTCTTGTTGCAAATTAAAATTCATCACTGATGTTTACCAAACAAACAGAACTCTTTGTTCGCCTATCTAAACTAAATGTTACGTAGAAACAAAACATTTTTTTTTAAAAAGAAGTATCAAGCATTATTTATTGATGCGGAAATATGAGATACAATTATTATAAAAATGAAAGTCTTGCTTGCAACTCGAAGTGGACTAAAGTAAATTGGCGAAGTCATGTGACTTCTGTCATTGAACGGTAAATGTTTGTTCATTTCAATCTTTGACCACTCTAAACAACGACGCCATTTTAAAAAGAGTACAATCCATGAATAATCATATTGAGGATAAATTTAGGTAATGATCCGTCTCGAGGGGCTGTTGTATAACCTATCATTGACTCAAGTGATGTTTAATTAACTTTGATAATATAGATGCTGATTTAGTGTTAGGTTTTTCATGCAACCCCAAAACGGTATAGTATCAAGATTTACAATGGAATTTTTCTGAAAATTCTTCAAATACAGGTAAAGACTAGGAGAAAGACATTTCAGGTACTCACGGTATGTAACCTCCAACATTTGAGGTTTAAACGAAATATTTTTCCTATGATAGGGAATAGAGGCAGAAGTTACTGAATTTTTATAAAACTTTTATCAGAAAAAAGATGATGGCCATTTGTCTATCTGACACTTCATATATGGGTTTAAATTATTTATACGTTGTGGTGGATAAAATTCTTTTAATTCTAATTCATTAAAACATTAATACATTAACTTTGTTACCACTAGGAAAAATATTTTTTGAAACTACGGAAATTCCGTAGTAGTTATCACGATAAAACTATAAAACTATCACTTATTAACGGCAAACTTATATTTATATTTTTAAGCTTAATTTAGAGACTGTTCGTTAAACTATTGGTAGGGACAGGAAATTATGAGTTTTTTTTAATTCTTATGGATTTGACAACAGCAATGGGATACCTGCTAGTGATGTAATGTAGGTATAACGATCTTGATTGGTTCTTGAGACGTGGCATTTGGTTACGTTTGCAATTGTTCTTTCCATTCTATTTCGAGTAAGCCAAACCCGTCAAGTATCAATTCTCTTTGACACATTCTATATTCTTACACAGAGATTCTTTCACAAAGATTTCAATTCTTTCATTATATATTTCTTACTGAACACAATGACAGGCATGAAGCCATGTGGAATATTAACAAATAAATTATGCATCGAAGTTGCCAGGTACACAAAGCAAAAATATATCACTGTTACAATTAAATACATAAACATAAATCTAAGTGAAGTAAAGTGCATAGACGAGGAAGAATTATATTTCAACAAATTCGTTTTATGATACACGCGGTATTTAATTAACTTCACGTTAATTAACATTCTAACCTATGTGGAGAAACTTAGCTCAATTCTACCACACCATATTATTATAAACGATCAGCTGGAGCTGACATCATACGTCACATGCGTGGGTATCATTATATTCTTCTTCTTGAAGTGCAAGTACCCAATTATGAATCAATGGTAACAAATGTTTGAGTGCTCTAAAAAGCTCAGTTCTCCATACCATGCAGTACAGTTCTCTGTATATTACTGAATCGGTGATTCCGAACAACCTGAACGGTAGAAGTGAAGCCCGCCGAATTGACTAACTCACCCCGAAGTTAGACTTAGTTTTTACATTAACATTTACTTTAGAAGGCGAGATTACACTCTTAAAAAATTATTTTAAAGTTACAGTATCGTTCAATTAAAAAAAAAGCTTTCAGTTAATTCCTCTTATTAAGTTTCAAAGTGTTTACACTGTTAAAATGAATAGTAGATTATTTATTATAAAAAATACATTTTGGCTACTTTTTTTACTGTTATCGCCAAAAATGTTTCAAGTTCGCCAAAACTGTTTCAAGTACGCCAAAAATGTCTGCTCGCCAAAAATGTTCGCCAAAAACTTCCAAAGGAGTGATTGGATGAGTGATAGCGGTTGAATTTTGGGTACCCTGTGCTTTCTAATCGGCAATCCTGATATTTGGTAGAAGGGAAGTGGTACTATACTTCGTTACAAGTTAAGAAAAGACCATTGCGGTATAGGATTTAAGTGATTATCCACGACGGCATATAGTTCCGTTTAATTTCGTCATCAAATTACACAAATATGCCTTCAAAACAATATAAAAACTTTTAAAAATTAAGCACGTCAGACAGAAATTTAATCCGAGCTATTTTTAACGGTATACAATATAAAATTATTTAAAAAAGGGTTATAGTTTCGTAGTCATACTGGAATCCTAGACGTGGAGACATATCTCGATTAATAAGAACTTTTGTTCTTGAAAAAGAAACAACTATATGACGTTGCTTGAGCACTGGATTTGATTGGACCACTAAAAATGGAGCGTCCTATACTGACATGGCCTTAACAAATCAAATGCGAGATATGGAATTTTGACTTCGTACTTACTCCTTACTTCCCTGTAGAACAGTGTTTCCCAAAGTGTGGTACGCGTACCCCCAGGGGTACAGGAACAGTTTGGAGGGGGTACATGTTCCTATGCGCAATATCTTGCAACAAACGAAAATTTCAAAAAATTTTATTTAAAAAACAAAGCTAGCCATGAAAATTTACAATTACGTACTTCTATTGGCTATTTTTTGCAGAGTTAACAGTTATTATTAGTGATGTCAACAGCCAGTTGTAATTTTTGACCTTTGTGCAATTTTTTTATAGTAAAAAATACATTCAATTTTTTATTAGTGGTACACCACGTTGCGAAAAGAAAGGGTACGCAAAAGTCATAAGTTTGGGAATAACCGCTGTAGAAGAAAATAGTCTGCAAAACACAATATTTATTATTCTTTCATAAATTTCTTTAAATGTGATTAGAAAAAGTATATTTGTTGCGATTTTTTGATATCTTTATTATTAGTTCTTATTACTTGTTAATTGATTATTCCATAAGTTTTTGTTTTCTTCATTTCACACGATTTAAGAAAGCAAAAAGAAAGCTGTGCATAGGTGCAAGGTTGTTTCAAGAAATGGCGATGTTGACATACGTTCGCGCTGAGAGCTTGGCATCCATTTGGCGTGCGCTTAGATGCAAACAGGCTCTCTCTTTAGGAATACTAGTTTTTACTTAACCAGCAACAAAGTAGTTTTTTACGGAGTGTCACTGGAAATGTGCCACGAAGAAATTATAAAAAGTGTTATTTTTAAAATTCTCAAATGATTTTGTTTGAAAAAAATTTACACTATTAAACACGAATTTATAAATCTTATAAATTTATAAACCTTATAAATTTATAAACCTTATAAATTTATAAACCTTATAAATTCGTGTTTATATTATTCTTAAGATTGAATTTGGTAGAACCATTGCATCAAAATGTTATGAAATTTAATACGATTTTCTTTTCTTCTTTTCCTTAGCTCAAGACTAAGTGTATAATAGCAAAATAAAATAAAAATTTAATAACTTCCAATTCCTTCGAAAGACGTGGTTGGAAATTTTCAGTGACGATAGAAGCTTATTGCATTTTTCTATTTGACAAAATACTTACAAGCTCTTTAATGAACTTAAAAACGTTGTTTTTAAAATTTTCATTTCACTTTATTCTTTCCGTTTTAATTTATTTTGGAATGTAGTAAAATTTTTCAAATGGCAAAAGCGTCATCCAGGAAGCAAAAATTAGAACTTTTGATGCTCTAGTGGAAATTTGAATGCAATTGATAACCAGAAAAGTCCAAATTTTATTGCTTTGGTTTAATCTGCCTTGCTGATGAATTGCGTTATAAATTCTGCTTGTAGTTTTCGGGTATTACCCCTCTCCCCCAGCAATGATCTCCAGTTAAAATATAAGCACTCTAGCTATTGGAACAATAGTTGAAATCTTGATTGACGAAAAATTACATTTGTTGTTAATGTGTCAATAAATTCTGCTTAAGTCTCTCAGGGTAAGAAGTCGTTAATCCAATAGTCAAAATAAAAATAAATCCAATAAAAATAAGTCGTAAATTCAGTGGTCGTAAATCCAAAAATTGGGTCTGCTGTTCAACGACAGTTATAAAATAAAATAAAATTTCTTGAATGTGCCTATGAAATATTAAAATGGATTCTTTTCGATTTATGGTTGAGAACCAACTCATAGAAACGTTCCATTCTAGCCACAGTATCAAGAGTCAGTTGGATGAAGTAAACAAGTGGATATCTGAAGCCGAGTCTAAACTGAAGAGCGAAGTGGTCAGTTCGAGAAGCAGAATGCAGTCTGAACTGGCCGAAGTGGCCCTCATAGTGGAAGACACAGCCAAGTACAACGACGACCTCCACAGAGTGATCAAGAAGCAGGCCAAACAAATTTCGGTAAAATTCCTCTTTGGCATCCAATATTTCCTTTTTAAAAATAATACATTAAGATAAAATTAACGTAGTAAACGTATATGTGGCTTAAATTTTTCAGCGTCGGAAATGTTACTCCATTTTCTTTGAACTGAAAAAAAAGAAAAAGAAAAAAACAGAATTTGTGAATTATTTATCATTTTTTCTATCGTCAAATGAAATACCGTTTTTTTTTTTCGAATAATTTTCATACCCTTATGACTTTTAGTTCAAGTCCAGCCTTTCTTTAGCCAACGTTAATTCAGAAAGTGACAACGTGAAGAAAACCTCTGTTATGTTCGTGATCTAATTTATTTTTTGACATTTAAAAAATTACTGATACGTTCCGTAATCAGGGCTCATAAGAACGTGAAAAGAGATTGAGAATTATTCATTTATTGTAATAGTTTTTATCCCGAAGACTCGCCAAATTAACGGTTTTAAAAAGAGTTGAATAACTTTTAAAATATTTAAGTTATTTGTCTGATCAAAATCTCTTGATCATTTATTACGGCTAAATGGTATATATAGTTTTAAAATAAAATATAGCTCCGCTTCAAGTTTAAGGTGATTAAACTGTAGAATTTTTATTTTTGTCTGCACAATTGCTTTGAAAATCACTGTTCAATGATTTAATATTAACGGATAACATCTTGCAAAGATTTACGTCGTAAAAAGTAATAATATTGATATTAATTTTTTAAATTGTTAAAATATTTGCTTTCTATACATTTTAGTGAAATAGTATAAAATAAAGATATTAATCCAGATTAAGGTACTCAAATAGTGGTTTTTTTTCTCTGGTTGAAAGAGCTCTAAAAGATAACCATCGGTTAAAGAAATAAATATGGCTCGTAATAGTCGCCAAAACAAAAAAAATATTTACGTTGAATGAAATGATGTTCCCCAAGCACTTCAAGAATCAATAGTGGAATTATTTTTATATTTGCAGCAATTGGGTACTCAGCAAGAAGATATTAACCGCCACCTGGTGGACATTATGGACTCCATCGAGAAGTCGAGAACCCGTTGCCAATCTCTGCAATCAGATCTCAGCTCTGTAGAGACGGCACTCCAAATGGTATATTAAACTCCTCTCCTTTCTCATTCTGTATTATTACTTATCCTGTATATATATATATATTCCCGATTGATTCGTTAAGTCGTGTTATTCGATTCAGAGATCCGAACTACTAGATCCGAATTTGGATCTGAACAAGTTGATTCAACCATGTGATCCGAGTCACTTGATCCGAATCATTGATCAGAATCACTTGATTCAAATCACTTGATTCTAATAACTGATCCGAATCACTTGACTCGAATCACTGATCCGAATCACTTGACTCGAATCACTGATCTGATTCGCTTGATTCGACTGAATGATTTGAATCATTCGATTCAAAGCAGTGATCCAAATCACTTGAATCGAATAGTGATTTGAATAACTGGATACCGATCATTAATCTACATCACTTGATTCAAATCAGTGATTGGAACCTACGTGATTCAAATAGTGATTTGAATCATTTTTTTGAATCACTGATATTGATTTGAATAAGTAGTCTGAATTTCTTAATTTGAATTAGTGATCCGAAGCACTAGATTCGAATCGCTAATCATAATCACCTGATTTGAATCAAGGGATTCAGACGAGAAATTCGAGTCCAAGTGATTTAGATCATTAATTCGAATCAAGCGATTCGGATCACTGATTTGAATGAAGTAGTTTAAATCACAATTATGATCACAATACAGATCAAGCAATTCGAATCAAGTAATTCGGTTCAATGATTCGATTCATGTGATTCAAATCAGATGTATCAGACCATTCATTCAAGTCAAGAGATCAATAATTCGAATCATGTGATTCGAATCAAGTGATTCAGATCTCAAATAGAATCGAGTCAAAGGGATAACTTATTCAAATAACATTACTTAAATCACGAACCGCGTGATTCAAATCAAATGATTCATATCCCTATTCAGGGAAATACTATAAATACTTTTAATGGTGATCCTTTTGAAGAAACTACAAAGGAAATGCATTACTATTTTTGTTATTCATTTTTCATGTTTTAATTTATCGAATTCTTTAAATCAAAATCTTAATTCCTTAATAATAAATGCTTAAAAATCTGTAGGATTTCACAAGAATTTTTTAACTATATATAACACTCCATCACTGCGAACTTAAGAATGGCTTTCGCTAATGTATCAAAACTTTATTAACTCATATCGCCAGTTTTTAATTTTATTATATTATTATTAACTTTTAGACAAACGTATGAATGATGTGTGCATAAAGTCGTTAATAACAATAATATGAAATTATTTAATTTTCTTTTTTCTCTTCCAGACAATGAAGAGGAGAATATAAAAGTCGCATGTGATGATATAAAAAAGAGTAAGAAATTTTTAGTGTTCAGATTGTTTTCGTAAAATTTATTTGATATACAAAGTAATTTTGTTTACTTAATATCCTGCATTCCATTTATTAAGTATTTTTAATAATAATCACAAAATTTAATATTCCTCCAGTAATAGCGTTTTCATTCCCTGCTTTTTAAAAAGAAAAATTTCATACGATGTTAAGATTATTTGAAAGACTATTGAATATCATTGAAATATTCTTTTTCTTGAGGTGTCTCCAAAAATGATTCACCCCAGATTTTCATCTCAGATGTTCCGTAAGCACCTACAGTAAAAAACACTCGTGATTCACTTATTTTGTAGACAAGGGGAAGGATTAGTATGAGCAATGATTACATAAGACACGAAAATCCCATTATTTACCAAAAATTTTTTATACAAAATAAGTGTATCAAAAAAAATTGACTAATAAAATGCATTCGAAATGATTTAAAATTTGGATAAGAAGTAACATGTGGGGGGAAATAAAAAGGTTGAATAAAATTAGTCCAATCTTTCAACCACTATCCTGACTAAATTATTCTGACGATATTTCCCAAGATTGTGGCTACTCCCTATATTTTGGGGATCAGAAATCCGAATTCGACGAAAAAAAAAGTATGTTCATGCGTTTTTGAATCTCATTTCGTAATTTTAAGTATCGTCTGCACTAACTAATTTGCATATTTAAGGTCATCCTCTCAAACCATTAAGATTGAGCCCTAGTACGTAAAAATCCGATAATAAGATCAAAAGTAATTCAGGGTGTTTCATTTATTTTTGCGCTATGTAATAGACACAGATTTTTTCTTTTCCTCCAAAATTTCGTACATTTAATATTTTTATATTTGGAAAATTTCAAAATCGAAAATGTACAGAATTAGTGAAAAATTATTATTATTACTGTCCCCCTATAAAATTTGGCCTTTTAAGATTATTTGTATCAGAGATAATTCTGAAGATATAAGAAAAACTACCCAAAAAAGATTTTTGTTGTTATATAATGACTAGAAATTTGTTGCTTTTGAAAACGGAACTTATCAGTTATAAAGTCAATTTCGCCAACACGTAGGAAAAACATCAGATTCTGTTAAACGCTGGACACCGGTTACCGATAATAATCAAGATGTATCAAATATCACAAAATTGAAAACATTAACGAAAACGGTAAATATTGAATGCCTTGATCATCATTGATTATAAAAATTATCGATTACGATCATATCACGATCATTATCTATAATATAACGTATCAAAAAGACGATAATATCACGATCATAATCATAACGATAATTGAGTACGATATTGTTGAGAATGTTGATAATATTCATTTGATGACGAAAGTACAGACCAACGTAATATATATATATATATATATATATATTAGTTAAATTTCCTAAATATCGCGATATAGCTCTAAAAATCATTATTTTTTACTATATATCACAATATTAAAATTTGTACTTATCGTTTCTAAATGCTCACGTTGGCGACAATTCGGAAAAGCAGTCGCCAACGCATGGTCCCGATAACCAATATATATCTTGAAAACTTTTAAATTTTCAGGACATCCAGGTGAGGTAAATGACGCGATTTTGGAGAGGAAATAACGTGCCTATTATTATCATAAAATTATAAGAATCACAAAATTTTAAGAACCGAAAAATTATAAGAAAATACACTACTGTATTGTTCTTCTTGTGACAGGGTTAAATAAAAAAATTACAACAGATATAAAGAAGGGCTGACGCAACTTTCTGTTGAAGTTGGTGATCTTCTGAGATTGTTAATAGCTGATTTCTTTCATCAGATCTTTTTGATAACTCACATTCGTTGAAGGTAGATTTTAATCTTTTACATCGTCATTCGATCAGTAGTTATGCAACGCCTCTCTTTCCTTCTTTAGTACGTCACACAGAAAGTTTTTTTTTTCTTTCTAGAAACATGTCTACCTTAACACATATTTAACTAGATTACTACTCATGGACTTTTTCTTCTTCGTTCGATATAATGTCTCCTGTTCTTAGGGTACACGACCTCGAGATGTTTTAATGTGTATTATTTCCTTCTCCTATTTTTTTATAGGCATGACATAATTTTTATCAGAACTGTAGAGTTGAGATTGCTGAAATATTTAACTCCAGACATTCGCAAGAACCTGATTTAGACTTCGACTCCATTAAAAATTTTTACCAAATTCTAGGCAAGTAATAATACAGTGAAAGCTCGATGTTATATGATTACGACACATTACGAGAAGTGTGCTATTACGACAAATTTCCATTTCACCGTCAAAATGCCAATACTAAATTAAAGGTACAAAAATTGTGTGTTCATATCGAGTTAAAAATTAGAAACCTTCTGCTAATACGTCAAAAAAAAATTTTAAAAAAATATTTTAAAAAATTTCAAAAATTTTGCATTTTCTTTTTTTAAAGAGAAATGCAATTTACCAGCAATATTATACGAAAAAGGACAAAATGGAAGACATTTTAATTCATTATATATAATATATGTATTCTAATAAAATATTATATTATTAAGTAAATTAATATTATATCATTATAAATATCCTTAATGTAATTGATGATCAATTATATCAAGGATATGATCCATTTAATTATTATTTTATTGAATGAGAGTGATGATCATTATTCATAAACAGTTGTCATTTGCCTGTAACACTAGTTTTTATTGACCTTCAATTTCCCTGTTCTTGTTCTTATTAGGGAACAGAAGAAAACTTATTTGCTTTCAAAACGTTACAAAATTCTAATTATTCAGAAACGTTTTTTTTCTCCCCTTTTTAAACGTATGGCCTACAAAAATGTGGTTAAACAAAACAGTGATAGTGAATTTATTAAAGACTGGTTTTAGCATATTTTGATACTGTAAGGATTTCGTTCTTGCGGATTTGATTTTAAAAATGGACTGATTTTATAATCCAGTCATTTCATTAGTGGCATTTGCTGTATTGTTAAAAGAAGCAATCGTGCCCTACTCACCCGGGCTCCCATTCTGCAATGCAGCCTTGGAATTCCAGAAAAAAAGAAACAAAATTTGGCTTACAGGCGTACGAATTTAAGTTCATAGATGGCACTATAATCGCAATGTGAAAATGGGATACAAATTGTTTTAAAAATAATGTCCAGAGAAATACTTTTCAGATTGGAAAAAAAAAATAACAGTTGTGTTTGATATTTTAAAAGGAAACTATCAATCTTCCGGCTGTCAGGACAACTCGTCCAGTCACCAGATTCAGATCCTGGAGGTTACTATGGTTACGAAGATAAGTGGATCGTGATACTTCAGCGGTTAGAGCATCGGATTTCGGTCCGGAGGGATCAGGATTCGATGCTCGAAGCTGCTAAGACCTATCGATATATGTAAAATCTGTAGAATCGAAAGTCCTGTGGTTCGTCGCTGAGCAGAACCATGGGTTCAGGGATCAGGAGAAAATTTTCTTCCCCTTCAGATATATGCCTCGAATGGGTGATATTACCATGAATTCAGACATTTCTGAGTTAAGTCGCACTTTCACCCTTGCTCTCTTGACAAACGAAAGGCGCTACCTTCTAACTTAATTCTTAAAAGGCCTTTGGCTGGCGAGCTTGGCTTGTCCAAGCGTCACTAAAGACAACAATGAAAATAAGTCATTTCGAATAAGAGTGTGTGGATTAACCGTTTTGCATTGGCTTAGGTTGGGAGAGTCATAACATTTGTTCAATTCTCCATCATTAGAAATGGTTTTATATGCTGGCGTCCGAAGCAACCCTCAAACTATCAACCGAAAAGAGTTCTCATGATGGCTAGTTAGTACTGACACCAAACACCTTTGTTCATGGCTCTTAGCTGCTCCTATAGGTTGGTATCGAGACTGTGTATGGAGAGACCGAGTTTGGTATCATTGAATCTTTGTATTGAAAATCGTCGGTATCACGTCGGTATTTTTAGAATTTTGTTTCCATACGTATTTTTTGAGATATTTAACTGTTTTCATACTTTTTGGACATCCTGACTTGTCTGGTGAAAATAACACTTCTTAATCAACTAAAAAATTCGTTCCGTAACGTTTTGATGTCAACACATTTTGTTATCACATAATCATTTGATGGTGATCACATATTTAAAAAAAAAAAATCATTGAGCTGAAAGCAATTTTGTGCAAAATTTTTTTATCACCTTTTATTCTTGATATCAACCATTTATATAGAAATTTTAATCTTAATTTTAATAAACGAATTTCAAAATCTCTAATAAGGTAAACTTTGATAAAAAAAAAATTATAAAAGATTTCAAACAAAAATTAACATTCAAAATGTTATTTCTCATCTTTAAGAATGAATATATATTTTTTTTCGATAAAAATTAAACTCTATCTTCATAGTAACATTCTAATCCTTTTATTCAACTTTATTTTCATATTAATTAAAAGGACGCAACATTTTTGTACACAAACGCAGGTTTTTAAATTATGCTTTAGAGTTGTACAAAATGCAATTAAGATTAGGTGTAATCGTGGTTACCTATTAGTAGTTTCAGTTTAGTTTATAAGTAAACATCGAGCGACAGCTACATTAACGGAAAGATTAACACATGATATTCTTTTCTTTATTGCAGATCTCTCACTAACTCTGCCTGATGATTGTGTTCGATTGTAAATAAATGTTTACCTCGTATAATTTGTGAAATATTGTTTGTTCGAAAAAGAAATTGCTGCCAAAAAAAGAAGAGCTTTTGTGTTGTTAATAAAGTTGTATTGTGTAAATAAAGAATACTTCCTTTCATTCTGTGCTTATTTGAATGCCTCGACACATAATATCCAGTATAAATTTTAAAAGGCAAAATCAAAAATTTGAACAAAATAGGTCGAATAGTTTCTGAGTTATCAACTTTTAAAAAATTTGGTCATTTAAAATTTAATGCGACCCACTTCTTGCAAATTTTGTGTTTTACCATTTAAAATTATTCTTTAAAATGTCTGAAAAAGATTAAAAAAAATTTTACCTTACAATTCAAAAACTTTTTTCAACTATTATTACATAAAATAATAATAAATAATTATCAAAAATTATTTTTTGCATGGAAATATCATTAGATAGAAGAATTTTATCCTAATGTGAAAAAAAAAATTATTTGTTTAAAACAATTCTCGAGATATGCATAATACGCAAAAAGTCAAATTAAGATCACGAGTTCCAAACTTTATATTTTCCAAACTCCCATATTTTGAGAGCCAAAAATCCTGATTCACCGAAAAAAAGGTATGTTTATTCAGAAAAAGTCATTTTTATCTCTGATTAAACTGATTACTTAAAAGTATCACCTGCACTAATTAATTAACATATTTAAAGCTAAGCCTTCGAAGCATCAAGATTTGAGTCTTAGTGCGTGAAAAACGAACATTGGATCAAAAGTTATTCTAAGATATTCACTTTTTTTATTCTTTTTTTGCATTAAAGCCATTCTGTTAGTTTTCATATCATACAGTTTTTATTTTTTTATTTTACAGAAGTTGAAACGCAAACTGAAGAGAAAAATGAACTTCACTTTTAAGCATAAAATTTCTTTTTCTATACATACTGTTCAAACTTTTGTTTTCATAATGGGAACGAGTCAGTCAGGGGCGTAGGGAAACGCGTTCTCCTGCCCCTGATTAAAGTGCAAATATCATATAAATTACTACTTATGATGATGTTCTCAAATGCGCATATATGAAAACGTTAAAATATTTAAATCGATATTACGTACAACTCAAATATTACATAACCTTTTTTTTTTCTTTCATTTTTAACTTCTCCCTCCTAATAATCAAAATCAAATAAATTATTCCTACCAAGTGTTTATGTGAAATTTAGAATTTTAGCATTAATAATCTAATTTTAATTGTTTTGATTGGATATAGCCTACGAAAAATTCCCATTTCATTTTATTTCTTTGTTTATTTGCATTTCTAAATTATAATTTTTGCAGAACGTTGCTTCTTTACAAGCTAGGTTTTGTTTTATGTTAGTATTTAGTTGCAGTATAAAATAAATGGCAGGTAGACACATAATCTTCTAAGTTAGATTTCTGTTTGTGCTGTTGTTCTGAGGATATTATTGTCTGTTTCTATCTTTTGAAATCGTTTCTATTTGAAAAAGATTTAACAAAAAAATGTTGGCTAACTGGCTTTAAATAACACACGCTTTCCCGTTTTTCCGCAAAATTAAATAGTATTGATTTTTTTTTCAAATTTAATTCTTTTTAATTTATAAGAGAGTTCTTACAATAAAGAGAATTTAATGTCTAAGACTTTTTGAGACCCCTCCCATGTCGACAAACAGAAACGAATTGAAAAAACGTGACCTCAGATGCTTGCATAGTTTTTAAACGAGCTTTTATGAAAGATACACACTGTTAAACTCGCTTAAGAAGTTTCTGCTCATAAACTTTCCTATTTAAGAATTTAATTCTCTTGTCACCTCTTTCCTCAATACTTAACTAAGACTTTTAAAAATAATTTTTTCCTAGTTAAAAAGTTTTCTCAAATTGTCCATTCCTCTCTCGAAGCATTGACAATCTTCGAGAAAAAAAAAGAGTGCATAAAAGTCTAGAAATGTTTGTGGTAAATTCGTGTAAAAAAATTTATCTTGTTCACTTTTTCGACTGTTTTAGGAAGACATTTGTCATAGAAAAGACCGAGAGAATGAGTCATAGAAATACAAGAAAGCCAGGAGATGTCTGTTAGTATCTGAGTTAAATGTCAATATGTATGACACAATATATGTATGATATTTTAAATGAGACAATAACTTTAGATTTTGACCAAATTCAAAAGTCTTATTTTCTTTTTAGCATGAAATTAGCATTTAAATGTAATGTAGCATTGTTCTGAAATTAGCATTTAACCCATAACAAAACGAATAACATTATCTTTACAATTTCAAATTTGCTAAAAGAATGCTCACCCTTAGTGAAAAAGTCTTAAACCTTAGTTACGAAGTTAGCGAAGTTGATCCTTAGCTAGTGAGAAGCCTTAGTTAAATGGCCCTATATTTGCTAAATTTGACAAAATGGACAATCATCTAAATTTGCCGAAAGTCCGAGAAAAATTTTTTTTAATACCTGGATAGTAAAAATTTTGGATGAGAGCCCATCCAACCAGTGAGTACATACATTTGAAAAGAGGAATGTAATTACTTAAAAAAAATTTCAATTAAAAAGACATGTTTGTAAAAATCAAAATCTATTTTGCAATGGAATACTCCGTGAATCGTTGGTTGTAACAGTCCTCTGTAAAACTTCCAGGGTAATGTTTGTATGTAGTGACAATTTCTTTTTTTTTATCATGTGTTGTATGTATTTTAACTCTTCAAGTGAAAACATAGTTTAAACTAACTAATAAGTTGAAATCAATTATCGCACAATAGATGGTGTTTACTACTCTAGGGTGCACTGCAAGCACTTTACTGCCTATATTTCCGGGTTACTGCTCCCGGTGTATTTTAAAGCTATTTGGCTCGCAACGTCATCATTTTGTTTTGACACTATCTTGAATAGTATTCCTTGTATACGCGAATTTGTTACTTAATTTATTATTCGTCTTTAAAAAAAGAATGGTTATCAGAATCGTCATTTAAAAACCTGTCAATTCAAGACGAAAGAATCGCCATTTGAGAAATAGAGTCGTTATAAAACACTTCCTACCTTGTCAACAATATACCAACGTCGAAATTTAAACCTAAATGATAATTTGTAAAATGAACTTAATAACGCTGCTCGAAACATCTGCTAACACTAACGTATGATGGTGCACGACTTGCTAAAGTAAATAGCGGCCAAATCAGGTCTGCCAAAAAGGCGAGTTCTTTCTGAATCTAACAACAGTATCACCTTCTTTTAACAAGTCATCTATAAATAACTGAAACAAATTTCCCTTCAAACTTACCAGAATGACTTAATATAATTAATAACTTATGAAATACAGATATGTAAGTCCGCAACAAAAAAAAAAAAAAAAAAAAAAAAACGAATCACCCTGAATAACTTTCGTTCTAATGATCGGATTTTCTCGAACTAAGTATCAATCTTAATGATTCCTGGGGGTGACCTCAAATATGCTAATTAATTAGTGCTAACTAGTAATTAAGTTACGAAATCAGACACAAAAACGTACTTTCTCTGTATAAACATACAATTTTTTTACATATTTGGATTTTTAACCCTCAAAATATAGGGGGTAGCCGCAATCTGGGAAATATGGTCCCCATAGTTTGGTCAGGAGAGCGATCCAAAGTTCATACCCAAGGGTGCCGGCAGAATAATATAAAAGGGGGTGCAACCCTCTAACAAACTACCCCCCCCCAATTTTTTTTAAAAATGCTTTTTTATTACATTTCGTTTTGTTATTACATATACTTTCATCTGTTATTTTTTCAAGATACATTTCTTCATTGTTAACAAGATAATTTAAAAAAAAGTACGAATTTCTTGTACTTGCAAATTTTGCCACGAGAAACTGTATTGATGGCACTGGCATTGAAACACAAATTACTACAAACAGTATTACTAACGTGTTTGTGCACGCTTAAAATTGGTATTTATTGTGATGATGAAGTTTTACAGTTGTGAGAAGTCAGTTTGTATTATACACCTTTCTTAAACAAAATAATTAATAGAAAATATAATATTATTTATATTTTAAGAAATGAAATTTAAAAATATAGCTTAGATCTCTGCCAAGATTGCGCATAAGAAAAGAATCAAAGATGACTCAGAATTCATTGAAAAAATTATAAACAGATTTGGACAGCAAACAAGACGATTACANTTAAAAAAATAATTTGGCGACAATAAAGAAATGATTAAATGGGGCGATTAATATTAAAATGTGATAAACTTGCGAGGAACTTGACTTCGCGCGCGTAGTGTAAAATTTTATTCATATTTTTTTCACTAATAATCGTTTGCTAATCTTTTTATTTTTATTTCTTTCTAACTATAAAATACAATGTTTCCTTTTTAGTCGCTTAAAATAATTTATTTGCAATTTAGTAAAGAAATTTGAATAAAACATTTTGAATAAAAAACACTTTATTCAAGGAATGTCTAGTTTTATAAAGTAGGATATGATATGATCTTCTGATAGAATATGATTAAACACCAGATTGTGCTTATTTAATGTGATTATTTTTTATTTTGTTTTTCAACTGATACAATTTCAGTAATATACATACGTATGCATAGATTTGGAATATTATATTTATTAATTTCTTGAATACAGTACACTCCCGATTATCCGTGTGCGGATTATCCGGTTTGCGGTTCATCCGTGCTCATTCCGGAGTCACACGAAATATATAAAGAGAAACATTTTCAAGATTAAAAAAATTTTATTCATGAAGTTGTAACACTACCAAATTTTTGGAAGCAATATTCGTTATTGGATTCAAGCATATGGAATATCAGCAGCATGGTTAAAGGTAAAATCGTCTACTTTATCACGATCTTGGAGAAAGATCATATCGCTTGATGAACAATCTTCTTCAGATGTTCAAGAAAAATATGATAGCAGTATTCTCGAACAAGCAAAAGAAATCTAAGTTTTCGAATTTCTGCAATGACTTTTGTACCGATATTTTTATATTTTTTGTACCGATATTGATTTTTTCTTTAATTAAAGGAGTTTTCGGATTATCCGTGTTTTTCGATTGTCCGTGAGACCTGTCCCGGTGATTAATCCGGATGATCGGGAGTGCACTGTATATATTTTATAAATATTAATAAAAATACGTAGTCAACATTT